ATTTTCGTGCACTGGGCCTCTAGTATATATATAAAAGACTAAGTTGACTTGCACATGCGTGATACATATAAAGCACACGTGTGTTTTGATCTGTCATTGTTGATTGTGAATTTGGTTGACACTTCTATTATAGAGAAAGGGCGAATAGCGATATTAAAATATTTCTTCTAATTAATTTCCTTTCAGTGTGTGAATCTGTGCACCAGGCCACTAGTCATTACATAAACCAAAGCATAACAACAAAATAGATGCAGTCTTGAAGGATGTTGTTTGAAATCATTTGGGCTAGATTGTTTTTCAACCTCTTTGGTGTAATTAAATTGAATCTTTAGGCAAAAAGGCATTTGCTGATAAGTGGAGATGTTCCTTTTTGACCCCTAAGAGATGACCTTTCTTTCCTATCTTGCAGAGAGCCTGCAACACTTTACAGTACCTAGGATTTGGTCTGGGGGTAGGGGGGGGGCATTCAATTAAATCCTTAAGATGGAGTCTTTATTCCAGTTGTTTGAAAGTTGGATTGTAAAAAATTATTTATAATGACATTATAAAGAAATTATTTATGACATTCTTAAAAGTACACATTAGCCAAATAGTATTTTAAGAACAATAAGAGACATTTTTTAAACTAAGGGAGAAATTACCTAGATATATATACTAGAACAGACCTTTTTGTTCATTTTTTTCTGTTTTCTCATTCATATACAAAAACGTATTTTATTTTGATCACAGCATATGTTTAATTTTCTGCCTTTTTTCCACTTGATTTTATATCAGAATTCTTAAGTTAGTATTGAAGTCTTATTAGCTGTAAGATGTGACATTACATTTTTTATACCATTAAGAACAATTTTAGATATATGCAGAAATGGACAGAATAGAGTAATGCATCCCATGTACTGTCACCAGCTTCGGCAGTCATCAGCTCATGTTAGTCTTGTTTTATTAATTTCCACCACCTTCCCCTCAATACATTTGAAGCAAATCCTAACGTTATTGATTTCATTCATAAATATTTCAGTACATATCTAAAAAAGTAAGGACTCTAAAAGAAAGTAAAACAACATTGTCACACCTAAAAATAATTAACAATAGCCCTGGCCAATGTGCTCAGTGGGTTGGAGCTTCGTCCTGTACACCGAAAGGTTGAGGATTCAATTCCCAATCAGGACACATACCTAGATTGTGGGTTCGATTCCTGGTCAGGAGGCAACTGATCAATGTTGCCTCCCTCTCCCTCTTTTCCTCCCTTCCTTTCTCTAAAACATCCTCAGGTGAGGATTAAAAAAAAGGAATATATTTTTAAAAATTAATAATATAATTCCTTAATATCATGAAATATCTAGATAGTGTTCAAGTTGCTAGTTGTCTCACAAATGTCATTAAATTTTTATTTTAAAAATTTATTTGAGTCTGGCCTGTGTAGCTCGGTGATTGAGCATCGACCTGTGAACCAGGAGGTCATGGTTTGATTCCCAGTCAGGGCACATACCTGGGTTGTGGGCTTGATCCCCAGTAGGGGGCATGCAGGAAGCAGCTGATTAATGATTCTCTATCATCATTGATGTTTCTACCTCTCTCTCTCTCTCTCCCTCTCTGAAACCATTAAAATTTTTTTATTTGAATCAAAATCCAGATAAGATCCAGCCATTGCAATTGGTTGATAAGACTTTTGAAAGTGTTTAAGTCTGTTTTAATCTTTTTCCTTTGAAATTTATTTATTAAAGAAATCAGGTTGTTTATCCTATAGAATTTTTCAGTTTGGGGTTTGCTGCCTGCATTTCCACTTAACATGATCCTTTATATTTCCTGTCAACTGGTGGTTGGATCTAGAGCCAGATGCCCTTTAAATGTTATGTATTTACAGCTTCCTGGCCCTTAGGGGTCCATACAGATAGTAGTGGGGCATGTGAGTCTCTTCAGTATTTTAAAGTACTGAATCTTTTCGGCTAATAAGGCTGTATAAACTAACAACATTGTCTAGTTTCTTTGATTTTTGCCTAGAGTCATATAATTTTACTGTGATAAGCATATTATTCCATGCTGATCAAAAACTGTCTGCAAATTATATTAGCCACTAATGAAACAAATGGGCAGGTCTGTTGCTATAACAGTAATCATTTATTTGGTAGGCAAATTTTTTTTTTGTTTTTTTTCCCTCCTAAATATATTTTGATTGATTTCAGAGAGGAAGGGATTGAGAGAGAGAGAGAGAGAAACATTAATGATGAGAATCATTGATCGGCTGCCTCCTGCACACCCTCTACTGGGGATTGAGCTTGCCACCCGGGTATGTGCCCTGACTGGGAATTGAACCGTGACCTGGTTTATAGGTTGACGCTCAACCATTGAGCCATGCTGACCAGGCAGGCAAATCTTTTTTAGCATGAGGTTCAAAAGAGAAAAATAGAGTGGTTATTTAGTGGGGTATAAGTTGAGGAGTAGTAAATTTGCAGATTTTCTCCTTAACTCCAGCCTACATTTAAAATATTCAAAAGCCCATCATTTAAAACCTACAAGAGGAATTCTTTACATAGACCAATCTGGCTTCTTTAGTAGGATTGTAAAGAACAGTAAGGTTCTTCTGTACAATGACTTCTAAAAAATTTCTCCTCTTATTGGAATATTAAAATTTTCTTCTTTGTATAATTCAGAATCCTAAAGGCAGTGTAGACTATATGATGAAAAGTCTGCTTTCCACCTCTGTCCTCCCAGCCACATGTCCCTGAAGACAGCCTGTGAGTGGTTGGACTAGGACAGTGGTCGGCAAACTCATTAGTCAACAGAGCCAGATAACAACAGTACAACGATTGAAATTTCTTTTGAGAACCAAATTTTTTAAGCTTAAACTATATAGGTAGGTACATTGTTATTAACTTAATTAGGGTACTCCTAAGGCTTAGGAAGAGCCACACTCAAGGGGCCAAAGAGCCGCATGTGGCTCGAGAGCCGCAGTTTGCCGACCACGGGACTAGGATCACTTTTGAGACCCCCTTTCAGTCCTGACATTCTGGGATTCCATGAATCTGAAGAACTGATTTATTTGGGGTGTTACTTTTTAGTTGTTAGGTTATCCTTCTACAGTGATTTAATGTATATGCAAGTAAATGCATCTACGTATTCTTTTTGCTTCCTCTTAATATAACAATGTTTATTGTTCACTGAGAAGTTTTAGTGGGTATTTCAGGAAGAAAATGCTTTTACTTTCCTTAAAAATTCAAATGGTATTAAAAGACTATTATGCTTTTCAATAACCCAGTGTGTGATGGAGGCAATGGGATGCAGTGGGTTGGGAGTTGGGGACCAGTCCTAGCTTGGCTACCAGCTTATGTGCCTTGAGTAAGTCATTCCGATGTCTTACTGAGTGAAAATGAGGCCGTTCAATGATACGATTTCTAATGCCGGAAGTGCTGTGACTCTCAGACAGTGTAATAAATCCGGCTGTTTTTGTTTCAGCGAGGGGATACGAGTATGTTTTGGAGCCCTCACCGGTCCCACTGCCTCTGGACAGGCCTCAGGAGACACGGGTGCTGCAGGTCTCTTGCGGCAGAGCCCACTCGCTTGTCCTCACAGACAGTGAAGGAGGTAAGGACTGATGGAGGAGGGGAACTTCTTTCTTGCCTTTGGGCCTAAAGGGGCTCATTTGATTGAGCCTGGTCTGTTTAGTGAAGCTGTTGGCATTTCCTGAGCAGATCAGTAGGATGCTCAAGAGAGCTGTATTGGGCAGATCTTGCTAAATCTTTTATGCTCTCCGCTCTCTGTGGTTCTTGGGAAAATCTAGGTTATCTATAGGTGTGACAACACACATCAGGCAGCCTTACCACGGCCTCTCCCTTCCTTTCATAACTCACCGAGCTGGGCTGCTTCCAAAAGAAGTCTGTTGGCTAAACACTCCTTCCAGGTGGTGGGGCCTTTTAGTGTCCAGGCTTCTGGGTAACCCCCGCCCTCTCCGGAACAGCAGTCTCTATGGAAAGGCCAACTTGACTAAATTTTTCAAATTTCATTTTCTGGCTAAGTGTGCTTTGTAGGAAAAGGTGAAGAGAGTGTTTAGGAGCTTTTTCAAGAGGAATTTTTGCATCAAGGGCAACCTAGTGACAGGTTTAAGAAATGGGGGTGCTGAGGCCTTCACAGGAGGTGCTTACCTTGTGTAAGGTGGGCTTTCTGAGAGGGGGAACTAGGGCCCAGAGGGGAGGGCAGAAGGGACAGTGAAGGTGGTGCACACTGCTGTGGCAGGTCTAGACCCCAGCATGTCTGTGGCTCTGCCTGTGCAGGATGCGAATGTTGGAGAAGGAAACGAAATGGCAGCTAGAGTGAGTGGTTGGACTAGGGTCACTTTTGAGACCCCCTTCCAGTCCTGACATTCTAGGATTCCATGAATCTGAAATAAATAAAATAAATTTATTTTATTTTATTAAAATAAATAAATCTTATTTAATTGGGTGTGTTACTTTTTAGTTTTCAGCATGGGAAACAATTCTTACGGGCAATGTGGAAGAAAAGTGGTTGAAGATGAAATTTACAGGTAAGTTCCTGCTATCCCTTTCCCCAGTTGTGTTAAACATTAAACATTTCTTTTTCTTTTCTTTTTTTAAAATATATTTTATTGATTTTTTACAGAGAGGAAGGGAGAGAGATAGAGAGTTAGAAACATCGATGGGAGAGAAACATCGATCAGCCGCCTCCTGTACACCTCCCACTGGGGATGTGCCCGCAACCCAGGTACATGCCCTTGATCGGAATCGAACCTGAGACCCCTCAGTCCGCAGGCCGACGCTCTATCCACTGAGCTAAACCGGTTTCGGCATTAAACATTTCTTGAGTGATAGATCCACAGAGCAGTAAGAGGGTTCCTCATGTGTGTGAGGAACAGTGAGAACTCACTGGAAACTGTGGAGAAGATTGTTCCATTGCAGGTTGAACGGCATTCATTAGCTAGGTGGGAGGGAAGGGCGCATGAGCATTGATTGTGATGTGTAGAAGTTTTTTTAATTAGTTTTGTATTTTTAAAAAAATATATATTTTATTGATTTTTTACAGAGAGGAAGGGAGAGAGAGAGTTAGAAACATCGAAGAGAGAGAAACATCGATCAGCTGCCTCCCGCACATCCCCCACTGGGGATGTGCCCGCAACCAAGGCACATGCCCTCGACCGGAGTCGAACCTGGGACCCTTCAGTCCGCAGGCCGACGCTCTATCCACTGAGCCAAACCGGCCTTGGCTAGTTTTGTATTTTTAACCAAATTGATTAACTTCAAAAATTCCCCTCTATTTCAGTCTTATTCATTTAGTCTTAAAAAAAACACAAAAAAACGTTTTCCCTCTAGTTCATTGCATTGTGCTGGTGGTTCAGAATACTACCAGTCTCAACTCTGGCAGCATATGAAAATCATCAAAGGGTTTTGTTTTTTTTTTTGTTTTACTTTCACACCTTGGCCTAATTCTGCCTTATATTTGACCATGAAAGTTTCTCTAATAGTTACTATATGTGGGGGCCACAGTTAAGGGTGACAGGGGAGGGGCCAGAGCCCCACAGTGCTTGCCATGAACATACCTCTTGCTTCTCCCCAAATTGCTCCTGGTGTAGTGAAAGTCACAAGGTCCATAGGATGCAGGACTTCGATGGACAAGTGGTCCAGGTAAGAGGCATGGGCTGAAAGCCACTTATCCTGCTCCCTGGGGCACTTTGAAAGGGGGACAGATGGGTGGAGTGATGGCAAACTTGGTAGGCAGATTTTCTGAATTAATAAATCATTCAGTAAAAATTACTGCTTGCTTACTGTAGCCACAATTTGCAGTAGATCGCCAGCGGACCAAGTTTGATCAGGTTTGGGGGATAACACCCTAGTCTGAGACACAGGTTAAAAAACCAGCTGTATCAGAGCGCTGTGATCAGGCCTGGCTTTATGTTATTCCCATTCCTGATGTAGTGCCTGGCACGTGGTCGGTACTTACAATGAATACCTAAATAAGTGAACGTATACAGAGAGTGCTATAGAAGTAGCAGAAGGGGAATTGTTAAGTCTAGCAGGGGTGGAATGGAAGGGAAAAAGGCACCATGGGGGAGGTAGCAGAGGAATTGACCAGGTAGACTGGGGAAGGATGGGAGGAAAAGTTTTCTGGCAGAGGGGAGGGAGCAGCTGGAGGCGCTGACTGCTGAGAACGTGCAGTGGGGCTGGAGTTTGGGGTGCTTATGGGGAGTGGTGTGGGATAGACTGGAAGACAGGCTGAGAGTGGACAGTGTGAGGTCTTGAATGCCTTGCTAAGGAGTTTAGACTTCATCCTCTTGACAGTTGGGGCCTATCAAAGGTTCTAATCAAGGGGAGTGACAGCCAAATCAATATCTGTTTAGAAAGGTAACTTTGGCCATGGTATGGAGTAGAGGGGCGAGGAAGGGATGAAGGTCACTTGGGAAGCTGTGGGGAGAAGGGATGGTGGGAGACAGATAAGGAGAATTGACTAGTTTGGGCCTTGATTAGCAGGGCAGGGAGTGTGCTAGAGGGAGCTGAGCATGATTGCATAGGCAAATGACTTGGCTGCTCATGTTCTCAACCTAGATAGGGACCTATTGGAGGAGGGGCAGGCGTGGGTTGGCTGGGAGAGGGGGTGCTCGGAGGAGTGAGAGTGGATTTGCAGTGGAATGTAGTGTTTCAAAGTCACAGGGATGTAAGTTTAACTCCTTGCTTCTCCACATAGTAACTGGGTGACTTTGGATAAGTTACCCAACTTCTCAGAGATTCAGTTTCTTACTGGGTGGTCTTGGTTATTGACTTAGCACAAAGTGCTTGACATATTAAGTGTTCAGTAAAGAGTGCTTTTCATTAGACAGTTAGGAAAATAGGTCCAAACTCAGTGGATTTGTTGGGACTGGAGGTAACCATGCGGAGGTGACAGTGAACGCCTTGGAAATGGATGCAGTCTCCTGGGAAATGTGAAGGCTGGAGCGAAGAGGGCAGGGGACAGAACTTTGGAGGAGTCCCCCGCTGAAGGGTAGGAAGTAGAGGCTTCGAGAGGCAGAAGGGGAATAGTGAAGAGAACGGCTTTTGGAGGAGGGAGTGGCTCCTCAGGTGTGGAGGCAGTGGAGGAGCTCTTAGGTTTGCTCCTGAGCACACCTGGCACTTTAAGAGCAGTTTCAGGGGAGTGGGAGACTGCTAGGTGCAGTACATTGAGAATGAATAAGAGATGGAGACAGTGTGGGGCACCCTCCCTGGCTGGACCCCATCTGCTTGGTGCTCCGGAGCGGTAGGGAATGGTACTGGGCTTCAGGTCCGTTGACTAGGATGCTGGGCTTCGAAGAATTCTCATCAACCTTACCTCTGTTTGTCTGATAGGTCACCTGTGGTCAGGACCATAGTCTGTTCCTAACGGATAAAGGAGAAGTCTATTCTTGTGGATGGGGTGCGGATGGGCAAACAGGTATTGTACCTTCACCCCGGGGGATAGTGCAGTATGGCATTGTGAGCTGTAGGGTTCTCATAGGCTAGAACCCATCTTCCTTAATTTGACTCTTACCTCTCTTAATGCTTCCTGGGGAACAATAATCGTTTCTCCTGTCCCCATTCCCATAGGAATGAATTATAAAGAATTGCATAGAGGATTGGAACCACTCCTCAACAAAGGAGCTCTGAGCCTTGTAAAGAAACAAGTGCCGCCTAAAAGGAGCTCCATTTTAACTGATTTCAGAAGAATATCATTAAGGGAGGAAGGAATGAGGGATAAGCTTTCACACCTTGTATATTTAATCTTTTTGTTTTTGAAATTTATCTGAAGGGCCTTTAAATTTAAGATTTAAATCTTTGTTTAAATCCTCAGTAATCCTACTATCACCAAATTGTCTTTGTTCCGTCTCCTATTTTCTTCCAGTCCTTGTTCATATAAGTATATCTTTTTATGTTGTAATGATAGCATTGATGTGATTTTTATATGTTTGTTTTATCATTTAAATTTATATAAAATAGTTTTTCATGTTAATACAACTTTCACAGTTACGGCTCCATCTGAACCATTTCGAGCTGTACAGTTCACTGATATTAAGCACATCTGCATTGTGCAACCCTCATCACCATCTATTTCCAGAACTCTTTCATCTTGTTAAACTGAAACTTTATTATACGCATTAAACAGTAACTCCCCATTCTTTCCTCCTCCCAGCCCCTGGCAACTGTTGTTCTACTTTCTGCCTCTATGAGTTTGACCATTCTTGGTGCCTTGTATAAGTGAATCATACAGTATTTGTTCTTTGTGTCACTAGCTTATTTTACTTAGCATAATGTCTTCAAAGTTCATCCATTGTGTAGCATCTGTCAGAATTTCCTTTCTTTTTAAAGCTGGATAATTTTCTCTTGTATGTATATAACACATTATGCTTATCCATTCATCTGTTGATCCATTCATCTGTTGCTTCTACCTTTTAGCTATTGGAATTATGTTGCTGTGAACATAGGTGTACAAATATGTCTTTGAGACCCTGCTTTCAACTCTTTTGGGTATATACACAGAGGTGGAATTGCTAGGTCATATGGTAATTCCAGGTAAAAATTTTTGAGGAACTGCCATACTGTTTTGCACAGTAGCTGTACCATTTACATTCCTACCAGCAATGTATGAAGTTCTACTTTCTCCACATCCTCCCTAATATTTGTTATTTTTGTGTGTTTTTGTATTAGTGGCCATCCTAATGGATGTGAAGTGGTATCTCATTTGTGATTTGCATTTCCTTAATGATTAGTGATTTGAACATCTTTTCATATGCTTATTGCTTGCCCTTTTGTATATTATCTTTGAAGAAGGTCATTTTTTAATTGGGTCATTTGTTTTTGTTGTGGTTGTTGAATTTGTTGTATATTCTGCATTTTAATCTCTTATCAGATATTTGATTTGCAAGTATTTCTCCCATTTTGCCTTTTTACTCTGTTGGTAGTAGCTTTTGATGCCAGTATGACCCTGCTTTGAGCCCCTTGTGAGGAAGCCCCTGGAAGCCAGAGTCTGTGGTTTAGTGTTTTGCCTCCCTATGCTGCTCAGTGATTACCCTCCATTGAAGTGCTGATAATGACATTGTCCTTCAGGCAAGCCCTGTGTTGTCCTGTTTACTGTTTACCACGCTGATTTGCCTGTTTCTGTTTACTTTTTTTGGGTGGCTGAACTGTAGAGATGTCCTTGATTTTTCCAGCAAGCTCAGCAGTGCATTAGAAGTTGCTCGTTTTAATATATGCAAGGTCTCATATGTTCCTTGTATAGTGGGCTTTCATGTTGAGAACTTTTCTAACTTGAATTGGACCTAGAAAAGTCCAGGAGTTTTCATATGATCTAGTTACAATGATGCCTTTTTCTGCCTCTGAGAGCACATGGAGATGGAAGTTGCCTGGCATGCAGAGGAACAGTTAGGGTTTTTGATATTTGTAAAGAGCTCAAAATGTGTTTGGCCTATAGTAAGTCTGTGTAAGTTGGAGAATAAATTATTAAAAGTATTTTCTATTGTATTAGGTCTGGGTCACTACAATATCACCAGTGTACCCACCAAGCTGGGTGGAGACCTTGCAGGAGTGAAGGTGTTCTTTTATGGATCATACTAACTGTATCGGTCCTAAGGAGGGACCTAAAACATCTTATGTTTAAAAGGTACCTTAGGATAGGAAAGGCAAGTATTTCTCCCATTTTGCCTTTTTACTCTGTTGGTAGTAGCTTTTGATGCCAGTATGACCCTGCTTTGAGCCCCTTGTGAGGAAGCCCCTGGAAGCCAGAGTCTGTGGTTTAGTGTTTTGCCTCCCTATGCTGCTCAGTGATTACCCTCCATTGAAGTGCTGATAATGACATTGTCCTTCAGGCAAGCCCTGTGTTGTCCTGTTTACTGTTTACCACGCTGATTTGCCTGTTTCTGTTTACTTTTTTTGGGTGGCTGAACTGTAGAGATGTCCTTGATTTTTCCAGCAAGCTCAGCAGTGCATTAGAAGTTGCTCGTTTTAATATATGCAAGGTCTCATATGTTCCTTGTATAGTGGGCTTTCATGTTGAGAACTTTTCTAACTTGAATTGGACCTAGAAAAGTCCAGGAGTTTTCATATGATCTAGTTACAATGATGCCTTTTTCTGCCTCTGAGAGCACATGGAGATGGAAGTTGCCTGGCATGCAGAGGAACAGTTAGGGTTTTTGATATTTGTAAAGAGCTCAAAATGTGTTTGGCCTATAGTAAGTCTGTGTAAGTTGGAGAATAAATTATTAAAAGTATTTTCTATTGTATTAGGTCTGGGTCACTACAATATCACCAGTGTACCCACCAAGCTGGGTGGAGACCTTGCAGGAGTGAAGGTGGTCCAGGTTGCCACCTACGGTGATTGTTGCCTGGCTGTGTCGGCTGATGGAGACCTCTTTGGTTGGGGCAACTCTGAGTATCTGCAGCTGGCCTCTGTCACGGACTCCACACAGGTATGAGGTCGCTTATAGCATGGTGCTGGGAGGTGTATAAATATAGCGTGTTAAGGACATTTCTAAGAGGTTCTTCACCAAAGTGTGATGTATAAAGTGCTAGAATGTTAAGACCTAACCTGTTGTAAGACTGCCTCTTCAAGGCTCCAAGATCTTAAAATATATATATATATATATGTATATGTATATATACGTATATATATGTATATATGTATATATGCATTATATATGTATATATATATATATTAAAGCATTATATATATATATATAACGCTTCATGAATTTGCATGTCATCCAGAGAGGGAGAGAGAGAAACATCAGTGACGAGAGAGAATCATTGTTCGGCTGCATGCCCCCTATTGAGGATTGAGTCCGCAACCGGGGCATGTGCCCTGACAGGGAATCTAACTGTGACCTCCTGGTTCATAGGTTGACACTCAACCACTGAGCCACATCAGCTGGGTAAGGTTCCAAGTTCTTGACAATTTCATTGGAGCCCAGAAAGAAAGCTTAAGTGCAAAAGCCATTTTTTTAATCAATACTTTGATGAAATAGTCCTGGTTTAGGGCAGTATTTTAGGTATGCCTGGATAATGAGGCTATTTACCTAAGTTCCTACGATGTCACACTGTTGTGTTTTGTTGCAGTGTAACATATGCCCCAAAAGCACACAGATCATATGCATGCAGCTCAATTAAGACACCTGTGCAGCTCCACCTAGGTCAAGTAGTAGAATACTAGCAGCCCCTCAGAAGCCATGCCTGCAGCCTCTCCTCACCACTAGCCATCCTTCTCACTGAACCAAGCCACCATGATTACAATACAGTAGAATTTTAAATGTTTTATTAAGGAAAAATTCAAATTTAAACAAAAAGTCGAGCTCACTGCTTAATTAATCTTTATATACCCATTACCCATGTCCAACAATTACCAACTAATGGCCCATTTAAAAAATTGAGATATAATTCACAATTTTAAAATATATAATTTAGTGGTTTTTAGTATAGTCACAAGGATGTGCAACCATCACCACTATCTAATTCCAGACATTTTCATTAACCTCATCTGCCCCCCTAATATACCCTCCCCCCCCCCCCAAAAAAAAAGCCCATACTCCCTAATGGCCAATTTTGTTGCATCTATAATTCCATCTACTCTATCCTAGGATTATTTTAAATCCTAGGTATCATATTTCTTTTATAGAAGTTTCAGTATGTATCGCTAAAAGATAAGGACTATTTAAAAAACATACTACATTCTTTAATATCAAATTTTGACACATTCAGAAGGTTGTGTTTGTTTTTTTCTTCAGAAGGGGTTTTAAATATATGTTAATGATAAACTTGCACAAAGGAAAACTAAGATCAGCTAAGAGATGAAAAAATGCATTCTCTGTGGTCTGGCTCAGCGGCTAGAAGTGGTTGCAGATTTGGCTCTGAGTTTCCTAGTAGCCAAAGCAGAGAGAAAACGGTCAATGAAATGATTCATTGTTTCTATAAAATAAATAGCAAACAAAGTGTTCAGGAGAAGCACTGCTCTTCCTAATGCCAAGGCCTGAGGAAAACGTCTCTCCGGCCTTCCTGTGGGGGACAGGTCCAGGGTCCTGTCATTGCTGCATAACAAATGACCCCGACACTTAGTGGCTTAAAACAACACACATTTGTTACCTCACAGTGTCTGTGGAGCAGGAATCTTGGGGTGGCTTACCTGGGTCTTCTGGTTCTGAGTCTTTCAAAAGCTGCAGTCATCTTAGGGCTCACCTGGGGAAGGCTCTGCTTTCAGGACCACACTGGGGTTGCTGGCAGGATGCAGGTCCTTGTGGACTATTGGACTGGGGCCTCACTTCCTTGCTGGCAGTCAGCCAGCTCAGAGTTGTTGGCCAGGCCTCCCATGGTTCCCTGCCACGTAGGCTTTTCCATGTAGTCACTCGCAACATGGCGTCTGGCTTCATCAGAGTGAGCACATGAGAAGGCAAGAGAGTGCCAGTGAGACCGAAGCCAGTGTTTTATCACTTCGTCTTGGCAGTGACTTTCCCTCCCTGATGCTGGTATTCTGCTCATTAGAAGCAAGTCAGGCCCGAGCCAGTTTGGCTCAGCAGACAGAGTGTCGGCCTGTGGACTGAAGGGTCCCAGGCTTGATTCTGGTCAAGGGCACGTGCCTGGGTTGCAGGCTCGGTCCCCAGTAGGGGGTCGTGCAGCAGCCCATCAGTGATTTTCTCTCATCATTGATGTTTCTATCTCTCTCCCTCTCCCTTCCTCTCTGGAAAAAAAAAGAAAGAAAGAAGGAAAGAAAAAGAAGGAAGTCAGTAGGTCCAGCCCCCACACAGGGCAGGGATTACACATGGGTGCGAATAGGAGGGGCCTGGGATTATTAGGGGTCATCTTAGAAGTAGCCCATCACAACCAAGATTCTTTACTGCGGTCTAAGCCTCATCCTGTCAGTGACAGCAGTGGTGTGTTCCAGTGGCTGTGCGAGAGCATTTCTCAGTGCTTGCCGAGGGCCTCGTGCCAGGGCACGGTGCGGTGAAGCCGCTCTGAGAGCCAAGCAGCAGAGGCCCCACCCCATCCTGACAGCCCCACTTTATCTGGGCCTACGTTTCTGGGTTGGTAAGCTCCTTTATTCCTTTGGAGTCAACTTAGGGACTGTTATCTTTCAGCTGTTTCCGTTTGAAAGTGAATCTGTGAAGATTTGTGGCTCTCACTGAAGCACTTACAATCTATCTTTCCAAAGTTATTTCTCAGTAGAGGCGCCAAGACCAAATCCTGCTGGAAGGCTAAGCTGGCCACATCTCACTCTCCAAACCCCTGACCCTCCCATCTCTTACTCTCAGCAGATCCTGCCTCCTGTTTAATAGAGAAAACAGATGCTCTTGGATGAGAATGCCCTCAGTTTCCTGCTATGGCTCACATACACGTACCTGTGTCTGTACCCACCCTAGACCCATTCCTTTCCCAGCGGTGGAGGAGGTGTTTCTCTTCCTGCAGAAGCTGATTTTTCTCTCTCTGCCCTGGATCCCATCGCCTTCCACCTTTTCAGGAGCCATCCTCTATCTGCTGGGCCTTCTTTCCCAAAACTTTAACCTGTCCTCTGCTGGTGCCTCCATCAGTCTTTTCACCTGACTTGTATGTCTTCCATCTTAAAGCCCTAGGTGGCTCCTCCATTTCCTTCCATTCTCCCCATCCCTACCCCTTTGCTTTACCGCCTGCTTCTCAGGAGCTACATTGACTTACTATCTGTTTCCTCATTGTCAGTCCATTCCATTTAGTTTCCACCCTTATGAGTTTGCTGAGTGGCTCTTGATAGGGATACCAATGACATCTATGTTGCTAAGAAGAAGAATACAGAATCTAGAGAACATTTCCACTCTGTATCTTTCTTGACCTCTCAGCAGCATTTTTCATTGACTGTGACATCTTTGTGAAAACCATTTTTCCTTTTGCCCTATGACTAGACTCTTCTAGTGCTCTCTTAGCTTTCTCAGTGTCCCTTTCTGGTCTCATTTTAAAAAAATATATATATATTTTTATTGACTTCAGAGAGGAAGGGAGAGGGAGAGAGATAGAAACATCAGTGATGAGAGAGAACCATCGATCGGCTGCCTCCTGCATACCCCACACGGGGGATCGAGCCCACAACCAGAGCATGTGCCCTGACCAGGAATTGAACAGTGACTTTTTAGTTCATAGGCCAAAGCTCAACCACTGAGCCATGCTGGCCAGGCCCTTCTTGGTCTCATTTACTGGGTCTCTTCTTGTGCCAGGCCTTTAAATGTTGAAGATCCTCATGGCGTGGATTTTGCTCTTCTTTTCTCCATAGTCCCCCTTTAGAAGATCCGAGCCATACCCATGGCTGCACATACCATTTATGCTTACCCATCAGAGTTCCAGACATCACTAAGTAGCACCTGACATTTCCACTTGGTCAGCTCTACACACTGTGAGTTCAGTACATTCAAGAGTGAACTCATGCTCCTCCCCATGCTCTGGTCCTCCTCCATTGTTACCTAAGTCCACAGTGTTTCTTCCCCTCTAGAAATTCCACAGCATCCTGCATGATCTGGCTGCCCTCTCCCCACCGGCATCTTGTACTATGTGTCCCCTTTCCCCCGCCCGTTTCCCTGCTTTAGCCACTCTGACCTTGTTTAACCTCCCTGAATGTGCCATGTTCACCTCATTCCCTTTACACATTCCATCTCCCCTCCTTGGAATATCCTGTTCTCCCCTCACCTAGTTACCTCTACTCATCCTTCAGGTAGCAGGAGAAAAATGAAGCCTTCCCTGACTGCTCCTCCCCTCATACTAGGTCGGTCTCCCTGACATTCATTCTCAGAGACCATGTACTTTCCTTCATTGCATTGAGCACAAATTAATTTTATGTTAATTTAGGCTGGCAGCTGCCTCCTCCACTAGACTAAGAGAGGGACCAGGTCTCTTGTTCCTCCTCATCCCTAATACCTAGTTAGATAGGTAGCATATGTTCAATGTTTGGGAAATACCTGTGGGCTGAATAAATGAACTGGGACTTACACACTCTGTACACAAGACCAGATTATTTCCAAGTTCTCACTGGTTTGTCTTCCTAACAGTGTGGACCCTTCCTTTGATTTAGGTGAACGTCCCGCGGTGCTTACCCTTCTCAGGAGTGGGCAAGGTGAAGCAGGCTGCATGTGGTGGCACTGGCTGTGCTGTGTTAAATGGTGAGACCCTCTTGCAGAGTCACTGTTCAGCTCTAGGTGGGTTGCATAGAGAAAGGTCGGTGTCCATTGGACTCACAGGCAGCAGACCTTGGCTGAGTGGGTGGGGGGTGGGGGAAAATCTAGTTAGATTGAGTTCAGCTAATAGAGGGTGCGGTGACATTCTTGACAGAAAGATAATAGCCGTGATATATAAGTAGACAGCACAGAGCTTAGTAATTCTGTAGCAGACCTCTGAAATGGAGAGTGAACTTTCTCCCTGTCCCTTAGCCTGGGCCAGAGACTCCAGCTCTGCCTTCTCCAGGGAGCTGCCAGGAAACAAAGGCAGAGAGAAGAGCCTTAGGGTTTAGATACTGAGGTCCATGCCTCTCGGATTAAACATCTGGTACCACTGATGAGCATTAAACTTTTTATAACCAAAAAATCATTTCTAGAGTTTTAGGAATCTGCCCAAAAGTTGTTTAGTTACTTGGCTTGGTCTTTTGATCACTGTGAAACACAGAGCTGTTGGGAGAAACTGTCCTTCGAGGGCTCTCCTGTGTTCATATGGGGTTTCTGGGTGATTTATGGTTTGGTCCTGTCCAGGTTACTTTCAGGATGTAGGAAGTTTGTATTCTGAGATTGGTGAGCTGGCTACACATACTCCACAAACAAGAATTGGAAAGAGGAGAAAAGAAACATGAAATATCTGTCAGCATGTTCTTGCCAAGCAAGGAGGGGGAAAATGCATGTGGATGTAATGCTTCTTGGTGGTGCAATTTGAATTTCTAGTGAGTGAGGGCTGCTCTTGGTTTGACTTACTGACCGTTGTTTTTCCTGTAATGCAGGAGAAGGACATGTTTTTGTCTGGGGCTATGGAATTCTTGGGAAAGGACCAAACCTAGTGGAAACTGCTCTTCCAGAAATGGTTCCACCCACTCTCTTTGGCTTAACGGAGTTCAACCCAGACGTCCAGGTTTCCCGCATTCGATGTGGACTCAGCCACTTTGCTGCCCTTACCAGTAAGTGACCAAGCCATGCGGCCCCGGAGACTGACAGAGCTCCACTCTCTCGGGTTCAGCCTCAGACGGTGGCAGCTCTGTTTCCATTCACCAGCGGTGCGGTACCCTTGTATGGATAATTAAAGAGAGCGGCTAATCCAGAAGTTGTTTGGCCTGGGGTTGTATAATGTGTATCTTTTTTTCATCCTGGAGTTTTGTCTTGGTTCATTTGGTTTGTGGTCAGGCTAATGTGAAAGTGAGTTTTCTCAAGAGGATACCAGTTGGTGGTAGGAGAGGGGACCCTTGAGTGTGTTGGGGTTTGGGGGAAAACCAGCAGAGGTTTGGCAAATCCATGGTAGATAATTAGGAAATGAATGTGTGGGGCTTAATCGCACTGCCTGATGAAGCCCAAACCCCAGTCTGACCCAGGAATGTGGGATGGCAAGGGGCAGACTTGTAAGACTGTCCGTGGTTTTGTGGAAGTAAATCTGCCCAGTTTCTCCAAAGTGCTGGGGAGAGAATGATCAAAGGGAAGGCCGAAATGGAGATTTTTGCAAAGGTTTGCCAAATGACACAGCCATAACATATCCAGTTACTCTGCAGACCTCTAGAATGTGTGCTTTTCTTGATTACATCTCCTGTTCCACCACAGTGACTGCTGGTTCAATTTGTTCCTCTTTAGTTGACTTGAATCATCAGACTGTATTAATTTAATTTCATTTTGTGATTCTCAAGCAAATTCACTATTTCCTTGTCTCATGGTAAGTAATTGTTTTCTTTTAAACATCTGGCTGGGACAGTCAGTTCGGGTCATTCTTGTTTGTGTGCTCTGGCCCCATGCTCTGTGAGGACTGCTCCAGATGATCACCATTCAGAATTGTCTGAGCACCAGGCTTGGGGCTGCAGTGCGGACCATTGTGCTGGTGGTCAGTCTTGCCTGACCGTTTGCATTAAAGCACCAGGTGGTAGCAGCGCTGATGGGTGGGGATCGCTCACTGCCACTCAGGCAGACTCAGCCACTGCCATTTGCAAATGAACCTAGTTCCTGGGAGTTTTTAAAAGCTACTTCAACTTAGTAAATAAGAGTCATTGTGGACTAATTCTGGAGGTGTCTGATCTGTTTTCCAGACTGTTCCAGGTATGCGAAGCCACATACCTGGAAGCCCACATGAAGTGTTCCACTAGAGTAGACTGTTTCTGTGTGGTGTCATCCGTGTGGCCATTTTGGGTCACACTGAAATGAAATCCCTAGATAGCTTTCCCCCTAGTGCCAGTTACTGTCCCTCAGTAGAGAGAACGTCAGAGCTTGGGTTTCTCCCCTGACTGTATGCTCAGCGTTTGCACAGGCCAGCTGGGAGTTGGGATTGGTTGGTTTACCCTGAAGTCTAACAGTTTAGGACCAGACTGAATTGTTCTGTTAAACACGTAAAATCTGAGGCTGGAGGACAAGGGTGTTGGACAGACCAAAGGGGCTCTGACAGCTTGTAACGAAAGGATTCCTTATTTAATCAGCCCAGATTATTTTGGTCCTGGCTTTCCCCTGCCTTTTCTACTTCTGCTTGCCAGGTGTGGGGGAGCTAAATAGGGCCGCTGCATCAAGGAGTGCCCAAAGCTGATGGGGATAGAAGTCAGAACTGAAGGCTGGTTGTGGGAGGCTGCCCTGCCATGTCTGGGTCCTTTCCTGGAGGTTGACATTTCCAGAGCCCCGGTCTAGATGCAGTCCCCTGGGCTATCTCTATAACAGCCTCTGGGTCCTTTTCCTTCTTGGTACTGTTAGTGTGTAAGCATGTATGTATGGGGTTGATCATTTGTTTATTTCTAGCTGTTCAACTAGTCCCATGAGGACAGGAACCAAGCATGTGTAGTCACTGTCCTGTCCCACCTCTAGCACACAGACCTAGACCTGGCCCATAGAGGTACCCAGTCACCATGTGTCCCTCACTTGACATGCGGAAACCCAGACAAGGAATGGCAATCTTCCTACTTTGAGGATGCTTGTATTTCAGGACTTGTGGAGGCAAGGTTTAGTTGGACATAGCTGTGGGTGGGGGGCCACATGGGGTGCGAGCAGAGTGGTCTGTGCAGGAGCCTCCTTGGCCCTCTGCTCCACGCACATTCTCGTCTCTCACATGATGGACACTCTAAGTCCGGGCTAGGACATGGTTTTGGTATGGGGCTGTATACTTTCCCTTCAAAAGGAAGCATTACTTGTCTGGTAGAAGTTGAAGTTTAACATTGGGCTCTGTCTGTACCAGGTTCTGGAAAACCTGTTCTCATGACCTTTCCTCTTCTTGGAGACTTGGCCTTGGCCTAGTCCCAACCAAGCCACCATTTTCCTTTCTTTGCAGACAAAGGAGAGCTGTTTGTTTGGGGCAAAAACATCCGAGGGTGCCTGGGAATTGGCCGCCTAGAAGACCAGTATTTCCCATGGAGGGTAAGACTGGGTTGGGCGGGCTTGCGGGCAGGCCCACTGGGCAGATGCACCTGATGTGGCAGCAGCGCTCCAGCACCGGGTCCCCAGGACTGCCTCCCCGCTTCCGGGTCCCAGCTGCCCTCCTCCTGCTCTGTGGCATCAGGTGAGGCCGCAGAGCCAGCGCCCAGCACCACCTTCTCTGGCTGTGGGCTCATTGCCCTTTGCTCCTTCCTGTGGCCTGTTGAGTGAGCAGTGGGAGGAATGGCCTGTGAGGGTTCCCTTCCTTGGTGCCCTTAAGAAGCCTTGTAGGAGGCTATCCTTGGGGATGTGGAGCAGGAAACAGAAGCACGCCTCCGAGAGGAGCTAGCTGCAGGCCGGGTGCCGCGAGGCCCCGATGCTGACAGGGAAAGGTTGGAAATGGAGAAGTTGGCATGCCAGGAGCTGTTTGCAGAGGCCTGTGCCGAGGAATGTTTACAGTGAATTTAAAAGAAAGCCGGATGTTTAATATTTAGAATGCCTGACCACAGGCACCAAAGTGAAAAAATAAAGGTTTTTCTTAGTGGGAAGATGCAATTAGACAAAAAGGCTCATTTCAAAATTAAAGGAGAAAAAGTTCTTTCTTCAATTGTAGTTTATCTTAGTGTTGTTTACTAGGTTTTTTAAGTTCTAAAAAAAGCTATTTTTTTGAATACAGAACATATGTCCTTGTTCAAAGTGTATTATGAAAAATCAGTTTCCCATGTCTTATCCCGGAGGCAGCCACCAGAATTGGTGTCTGATGTTCCCTCCAGAGACAGTCTCTGCCTATGGAAGTGCGTGTGTGTATGCGTGCATGCGCGAGCGTGCACATGTCTAAGTATTTAACAAGTTTGATTTTAATAATGTGCTTTGAAATTGTGTAAAATATCTTTTGAAAACACATGTAAAAATGCAAAAGAAATGAAGTAAGGCTTTGTCCAGAACTCACTGCAGAAGGTTTTGAGGCTCCTTGTTATTTTAGGGCAGTGATGGCGAACCTTTTGAGCTCGGTGTGTCAGCATTTTGAAAAACCCTAACTTAACTCTGGTGCCGGGTCACATATAGAAATGTTTTGATCTTTGCAACCATAGTAAAACAAAGATGTATATTTTTAATATTTATTTTATATGTTTAAATGCCATTTAACAAAGAAAAATCAACCAAAAAAATGAGTTCATGGGTCACCTCTGACACGCGTGTCATAGGTTCGCCGTCACTGTTTTAGGGGCTTGTTTCCACTGCCCCTCCCCTCGCTGCTGACTCTCCTGGTCCCTGTGAACTTGGCAGGCCCTGACTCCTTTATGAAAACAGTAGGTGCAGTTTCTAAGAGAATAGGTCAAAATAGAGACTTTGAACTTGTTAGAAAAATTGGTTGTGGACCAGAGTTGTCCCTGAGCTGGCTGGCGCTCCCTCGCTTATTCCCTGAGCTAGGAAATGTCATCCTGTGTGAGGAATAAGAGGCAGTTGACGGACAGTGGATGGTACCGCAGGTAATGGAAATGCCGATCATGTGACTTAAACATCCTGCTTGTTTTCTTGGTAGTTCCTCACTGCCCTCTCTCGAACCCCACCAAAAGGCCTTTCTGCAGGGGGGCTTAGGAAACAGTAAAGCACCTGGGCTTTGGACAAATGACTGCTGTGACGAGGGTCTCCTCACCTGCCTCCCTTTCCTCCAGATTAGAGTGAAGACGTAGGACAGCCATAAACTGAGATTTGAAATCTGATAGCATGTTCCTTATTGAAATGGCTGGGCCAGGCCTCGGGCCCTGCGATGAAGCTGGAAGGAGCAGGCTGCTGGGGGCTGACACCACTTGCCACTCATACCAGACCCCCCTTCATTGACTCATCACCCATCAAACCTCCCTTTGGGAATGTTGTTGTCTGCATCTGTACCATCAGCAAAGGGACACTTGGCTGCTTTCTTGCCAAACTGTTGTCCTCCTCCTTGTACATTTGTGGAGCTGTTTGTGGATGGGTGAGGAGAGAGCTTGAAGAATGGTGCTGAGATCTGGTGACCTGGCCTCTCCACTCTGCAAGCTTGAGGTGCAGGGCTGAGGCTTGGGACAAAGGTGGTGGCAGGAACCAGGTTTTGGATCAACCAAGCTGGATTCCTTAAATATTCAGTTTGTCTGTTGTTGGGTAGCTGGACCTTCTGTCTGTTCTGTTGCATTCACTTAAAAAAAAAATTACAGGAGGTTTTTAAGCTTTAAAGCACTGTATTTTGTTATTAATCCTCAGTGTGGGCTGTGTTCCATCATTTAAAAAGGATTCCAAAAAAGAAAAAGGAAGAGTAAAGTCTTATTTATGGCGCCTACAAGGCACTAACTAGTTGTTCTTGGACTCACAGAACCTGGGCTTCTCCCTCAGTTTGTAGGCCCATGTGGTGACATCAGAGCCACCTGATTTAAACCTCTCCTTCCGAAGCTTTCCAGGATGTTCCCTGCTGCAGGCGGTGCTGCCCCCTCGCCATGTTCCTCTGGTCAGTACCAGGTTGGGTTTGGGAGCACAGGCTGGGAAACCCTCTGGCCTTCAGCCTTCTTATATGGCCACCTCGGGGGAGAGGTGCCCTGTGGCAGCTGGGCGCTCTGGGCCAAGCTCTTTTCCTTTCTCAGCCTGCTCGCTTATGCCAGGAAGGAAATTTCAGAAGCAGCCAAGCGGGAGCAGCAAGTCTGCTGGGCCCGGCCACTGCCCAGGGGCAGTGCTCTCAGCCTTCCCGTGTCCTTCACCTGCTGGGCGCTTGTTTCAGGAACGTGTCCTTGTGGAGAGAGATGTTCCTAAACTGAGTTTGCTCAAACCTTTCAGTCACTCAAGCTACAGGTGCTTTTGGTTTTTAGAACTGTGTCCATTTGCAGTAATGTTGTGAGCGTAAATTGGTTTAGAATAGAAGCTCCTTTTAACCTTGACAAGGACAAAAATAAAACATGGCTGAGGGCATTCTTCTTCTGGACTCGGTTCAGAGACAGACTGCGAGTGACTGCTTAACGCCCCCCACCCCCCGCGCCACAGAGAGGTGGGCCTCCGAGGCCAGGCCATAGTCCTGGCGAGTAAACAAGGCAAGTGGTCTACTCTGCCTTGGGCACTAATGGCCAGAGCACTTGGGGAACAAGGACAGAGGTGGTAACTGCAGTAGCCGGGCTGCAGGTTACTGCGGAGAGGGGCACTTCCCCCGCCCACAGTGGTCAATGAAATGTGCTCTAATGGCCCTGGGGGGTTGCTAAGAGCTCGCCTGGGCCTGGTCACCTCAGAGGCGGCATGCTTTCCCCTGCGTCCCTGGCCAGCCTGGAACGCTTTCTGCCTCTCCGAGCCTTTGCAATGAGCTGGGGCAGGGCTTCTTGTTTGTTTAGTGATTTCTCTAATAGGCTTTGCCAAAGACATTTGTTTAGGGAGGGAGGGAAGGGGAGCACAACTTGGTTACTAGCGTCCACTTGTTTGTGGCCAGGAGCCCTTAATGGACTTGTCTCTCCATGCCAAAGGCGCCAAGCTGCAGGGTCGGCAATGCTGCCTCTGGGCTTTTAGGCCAGGCCATCTGGAGTAGGCCTCTCCCTCTTAAGCTCAGTACACTCCACAGGCTGTTACAGGTCCCCTTTCCAGCTGTATACTGCCCACCCCGGCAGGATGGCAGGATTCGGATCTGCTCAGAAAAGCAGCATCCCTTGTAGCTGAGGGCTGAGGGCTGAGGAGTAAGTAGTAGAAGTGCACTGTCTTAAAACTTGCCATCTAAGAAAACAGTGTACGTGGCATTTGCTTCTCTTCGCACCCAGTAGACAGTGCCCCTTTTCTGGAGAACTGGGGTGGCCATGTGGGTATGGAAATCCTTGAGTCGTGGACACACCCATTTCCAAGGCCAGGCTGTGAACAATGAGTCATTTTAAAGACAAACAGGCAGACCCTGGCCAGTGTTGCTAAGTGGTTAGCGTGTTGGCCTGTGCACTGAAGGTTTGCAGGTTTGATTCCCGGTCAAGGGCACATACCTGGATTGCAGGTTCCATCTTGCACATGTGGGAGGCAGCCAATTGATGTGTCTCTCACATCAACGTTTCCCTTTCTCTCCCCTTCCCTCCCTTCTACTCTCTCTCACTCTCTAAAAAAAAATTTCCTTGGGTGAGGATTAACCTAAATAAATAAATAAAGGCAAACAGAGGCCTCCACATCCCAGGAGGCTGCTGTTACCTTGAGAGTCGGGCCTTCCTGTGCTGAGTGTTGTCAGCGTGGATGGGCAGTGTCGGCAGGACTGCTGGCCAGGCCTTGGGCGCCTTCTGAGACACAGTCAGCGTCCCTCCTTGAGGGTGACAGGACTCATGTGCCCATGTCTGGAGCTGGAGCTGGGGGAAAAGTGGGTAAAGACCCGGGGTCAGGGGCCTAGTTCCCAAAGTGGACCTGAGAGCAGGAGAAAGGGTTTTTCCAGCCGCTCTAGTGAGCCACGGTGGTGACACTAGGAAAGGCTACTCAACACCTGGCCGGAGAACAGGGTTGCCCTCTGGCGGGGTCATACTCACAGGGGACTAACCTCTGTGGGATGTCACTCAGGGTTCGTGCTTGTGCCCACAGTGGCCTCTTGGGGGCTGGACAGTAACGCCCACTGCTGACCAGGTGGGGAGTTCAGATGGCCTTTCCATGGTGATAGTGTTTGCTCGGCCCAGCAGACCTGCTAGGTAGGTTGTAAGTGTCCCCATTTATCACCCAGAGGAGGGAGCCAAGGCTCAGAGAGGCTAAGTCACCTACCAAGATGCAGGGCCCGGATCAGGCCCAGCTGGGGCCACCTCCAAGCCTGTCTGTCCCCCAGTTGGCCATTTCCCTTCACTGTGTGCTGGCTCTTGTTTTTCAGGTGACAATGCCTGGGGAGCCCGTGGATGTGGCCTGTGGTGTGGATCACATGGTGACTCTGGCCAAGTCATTTATCTAAATCTCCTGCTGACCCAGGTGAGCCTGCCCTGGCCGCAGACCCACTTGGATTGCTCAACAGAGACAGCCCGCGGGGTTCTGATGGGGCTCAGAGAGGACCAGAACCCTCCATGAAGTGTGACTCTCTCTCCTAAAGCCCTTAGGAGGTGCAACCTGAAGTCTGGAGACGTGGGCCCTGCTCTGGTGAGACCTGCCAGTGCAGCACATCACGGCTGCCTTTGGGCTGGTCTGCAGGAAGATGGGCCCCAGGCCCTGCGGCCCCAGCGTGGTGAGGATCATTAGAATGTCTCGGCTCTTTCCTGGGAGCACGGGATGGCCTCTGGAGTCACGTCTGGCCCGAGAAACTGGTCTTCACAAATATTTGTTCATGATATGCATTTTGTTTGATCTTGAAAGGAGCCTGACAGAGTGCAGTGCTCAGGAGGCTTCTGCAGCCCCTGGAGCACAGCAGAGGTAGGGTGAGCGTGTGTGGGCACGGGGCAGCCCAGCCTGACTGAGGGAGCCGGCTGGCTTCGGCCTGGGGTTGTCATTCAGGTCTCCCCTCCCAAAGCGGACCCTGAAAGCCAGCTTGCTGGTGGGACATGCCGAAATCCTTTGCTTAGATTGGGGTTCTCCCTGAAAATGGAGTGGGCGCCAGCTCGGCACCCCATGGGCTCATGGCTGCCATCAGCCTCGTAGCCATCCTCACTGCCTGGCTGGGAGAAGGGGAGAAGCCCCCGCTGGAAGGAGATCGAGGCCAGATTCCTGTGGCTGAGGGCTCCGAGCACATCCGCAGAAGCTTGGCTGCAGTGCCAGTCCTGGAGAAGAGATCCAGAAATTGTGGAAAACAGAGTAATGTAACTTGTCTTATTCTTTAAAAAAATATTTTAAAAACCTCTTTTGAAATAAAGTCTATTTTCTGCATTTTTATTCTTAAGAGCTGGAGAGGTCTTTTTATTTTACTTGCTCATTTATAGAGATTAGCTTTCAAAAACAAGGCATTTGATAAAGAGGCTACTAGATGCCAGTGAAAAATATGGTAGAAGACAGTCCTGTTTGAAAACTATTTTCTAAACAGTCTACTCCCACAGTTCAATTGGAATAAAGAAGTATAAAAATAACTGATAATCCAGTTAAGTTATTGGTTATAGATAACTTGAATGACTTGGATATTTCAGCCTTTATGTCAAAAGATTGGCTAGGGCTAGATTTAGGAGTAGATGTCACAGGACAAGATCCCCTAGGCCAGCGGTCGCCAACTGGTGGTCCGTGAGGTCCGAAAGGTTGGCGACTGTTGCCTTCGAGCACCGAGGGCGGACTGTGAGGCTGAGGTGGGTGTTCTAGGACTTGGCATAAATACTGGGCAAACTGCGGCTCGCGAGCCACATGTGGCTCTTTGGCCCCTTGAGTGTTTAGCAAAGGCCAGCTTAGGAGTACCCTAATTAAGTTAATACCAATGTACCTACCCATATAGTTTAAGTTTAAAAAAATTGGCTCTCAAAAGAAACTTCAATCTTTGTACTGTTGATATTTGGCTCTGTTGACTAATGCGCTTGCCAACCACTGCCCTAGGCCACTGCTGCCACCGTGCATATAGAAGTAGGATGTAAGCGGACGAATGCCTGGGTGGAATGGATTAAACGTTCTGTACACGCCCTGAATAAAAGTGACTTAACGCGGCAGGAAGGCCAGAAGCCCAGGTGGTCCCATTTCCATCGGACGGACCTCAGACAGTAATGGGATGGGATATGTGCTTGCCCTGTACCAGGAGGAAACCGCCGGGGGAAACGCTTCCTGCAAGATTCTTGCCCTGTTGTTCCCATCCAGCCGAGGTAAAGAGCAAGGACCCCCCAAAACTGTCCGGCCCCTGTCCTCCAACGTAAACTATACCTCCTACCTCTCAAGGGTGGGGAACAGAAAAAAACCCACCTGGTAATCATGTCACAGACTGAGCTCTCTCACTGTTGCCTTGTGTCCCTCGTGTGCCAGGCACTGTTTATCGCACTGAGTCATGGTAACAAGAGTTTCTGTAAGCAGGTCTCACGAAACTCACATTTTAGGGGCAGAGTGGACAGTAAACAAGCAGAATGCAAAGTACGTTAGATGGTTGTGTGGGGCCGTGGGCTGTGGCAAAAAACAAAGCACAAGGAGACGGTGATGTCAAGACAATTGCAGCTTAAAGTGGAATTGTCACTGAGCAGATCGCTGTGACCTGAGGCAGCAAGACGCAGCCATGTAGTGTCTGGGGAGCGGCCCCAGGACCCCTTGCCTGGGCTCACTTCTCTGTGGGGTCCAGTTCTTATGTTATTACAGCAAGGCTTTTCCATAAACTTGAAATAAAATTGAAAATGATCTGTCATTGTCCTTCCTGAAGCTCCTGGCTGGCCGAGTACCACGTGCCCAGTGGTGAAGAACGGTCCCAGCACCTGAGGGGGCCCGGCCTCTCCTGACCAGCAAGGGAGCCGCTCAGACCATTCTGAGGGACCTCCTGGTTCATAGGTTGACGCTCAACCACTGACCCCAGTCCCCACCGCCTTCCCCCGGCAGCATGGTTTAACCATGCAGTCTGCTGGGGGACACCCTTTCAGATGGTCTTGGGGGTAGCACCCAGCACTGGTCCCCTCGAGGCAGCCATCACCCCAGGACCTGTCCTGCCCTGCGATGGGACCCCAGGGGCTTACCTCTCCCCAAACCCTCTCTCTCTCCCAGCTGCCCTCAGACTCAGGTTGCCCCAATTAAGGAATCAACCAATGAATGCATAAATAAGTGGAACAAATGGATGTTTCTCTCCCTCTCTCTCAAATCAATGAATAAATTAGCAATCCCAGTCGTACTTGGTTTGGTTCAGTGGCTAGAGCCCAAGGACTGAAGGGTCCTGGGTTTGATTCCGGTCAAGGGCCTGTACCTCAGTTGCAGGCTCAATCCCCAGGCCAGGTTGGGGTGTGTGAGGGAGGCAACCAATCAATGTGTCTCTCATATCGTTTCTCTCTCTGTCTCTCCCCCTCCCACTCTCTCTAAAAATCAATGGAGCCCGGCCAGTGCGGCTCTGGTTGAGCATAAACCGACGAACCAGGAGGTCACACACAGTTTGATTCCTAGTCAGGGCACATGCCTGTGCTGTGGGCTCAGTCTTAGTAGCCAATCAATGATTCTCATCATTGATGTTTCTGTCTCTCTCCCCTTCCTCTCTGAAATCAATTAAAAAAATATTAAAAAAATAAAAATCAATGGAAAAATATTCTTAGGTGAGTATTAAGAAATCCCAGGCCTGTATGTAGTTCAGTGCTTGGCTTGTGCACCGAAGGGTCACGGGTTTGATTACTGGTTAAGGGCACTTACCTGGGTTGCAGGTTTGATCCCTGGCCCAGTTGGGGTACGTGCAAAAGACAACCAATCTCTCTTTCTCCCCTTCTACTCCCTGCTTCTACTCTAAATATCAATGGAAGGAAAAAAATCAATGGAGCCGGGGACCCAGATGAATCTGATGTCCGGACCTGAGCTCCACAGTAGCCAGAGCTTCCTTGGGCTCAGGTGGGGTGCCCGGGTGCTCCAGCCCCATCTCCACTCCCATCTCTAGTGCTGCTTCTATGGGGGAGGTGGGTGGGGACTGGGGTCAGTGGGCCGAGGGCCTGTCACTGTGGCTCAGTGGTTAAGTGTCAACCTATGAATGAGAAGGTCACAGTTTGATTCCTGGTCAGGCTTTGCGCGGGTTGCAGACTCAAACCCCAATGCGGACCGTGCAGGAGACAGCCGATCAATGATTCTTTCTCATTGATGTTTCTCTCTCTCTCTCTCTTCCTCTCTGAAATCAATAAAAAATATTTTAAAAAATATATCCTCAGGTGAGGATTAACAACAACAAAATCCCGGCCTTTCACACAAATGTTGCTGTTGAACACGGAGCAGCAGCAGCTGAGGTTACACTTGATCTGGAGACAATGTCCGGAGTACTAGCTGTGCTATTCTCCGATTTTGGACCACACGGAGGGGCATGCTCAGCAGTCAAGTTTAAAAGGATAAATCCAGACCACACCAGGAGTTGTGTTGCTAGGGAGGCCAGCAGGTGGGCTGTAGCTGGTGGTGGGGAGGCTGCCCCTGGGGGAGCACAGAGAAACGTCTTGCTATTCCTCTGGTAGCATAATGCAGCTGAGGTGCCAGGAGACCAGGGGACACAAGGCCATGACCATCGGACAATGCCCGGTTGGAGTCCACCTTGGAGCTGGAAACAAGTTCAGGTTCATGGCTTTAGGATGTCCCACAGCTGCAGCTGTTGGCCCTCATTCCAGTGAGAATATTGTGGGTGATGCAGAGGCTCGAGGGGAACGTATCCGTACTCCTGGGCACCCACCGCACTCCAGGCCCTGCCAGTGCTGGGACGCGGTGGTGAGGTGTCTGTTCCAGCTTGTGCATCGGGGCCTGGCTGCCTCTGGTCGGCCTCCAAGTGAGGCCATCTGCCCACAGAGCTGCCCAGGAGGGGGGGGTTCATGACAGAGCCGTTGGGCAGACCGTACCCTTAACCCCGGCTTCTCAACCCTGGCTGGACCATGGGGTCATTGGGGGAGGTACTTTTTTTCTTTCTTTTTGATATACCACATTGGTTACTCATTCATCAGTTGATGAATATGTCGGTTGGTTCCACTATTGTGAATAGTGCCAAAACATTCATGTGTCAGTTTTATATTGGCCCAGCTTTGTATTTTTTTAAACATTCCCACACAAGCATTTGTGTGAATGTTTTCAATTTTCTTAGGTATATGCCTACGAGTGGAATTGTTGAGGCATCCATTTAATTTTTAACTCTGACACTTGGATCATGTAAACCAGCGGTTCTCAACACGTGGGTCGCAACCCTTTTGGGGGTCAAACGACCCTTTCACAGGGGTCGCCTAAGACCATCGGAAAACACAGATATAATTACATATTGTTCTTGTGATTAATCACTATGCTTTGTGTTCAATTTGTAACAATGAAAATACATCCTGTATATCAGATAGTTACATTACGATTCATAACAGTAGCAAAATTAGTTATGAAGTAGTAACGAAAATAATGTTATGGTTGGGGGTCACCACAACATGAGGAGCTGTATTAAAGGGTCGCGGCGTTAGGAAGGTTGAGAACCACTGATGTAAACCCTAACCCTTGAGTTCCAAGACACTGAATATTTCTTTTCCTGAATTCAGTGTGGCTGTTCCCCACCAGCCGGCTAGGGCCTCTGCTGCTTCTATAGGCCTCTTCCCATCAGGACCCTCTGCGCCCGCCCAGGGCTCCCAGTGTGGAGACATGGGCTGCAGGTCCAGCTGACAGCTTCTGCTGGTTCAGCTCAGGTGCAGCTCTTGGAAACACATCCCAAAGGAGGTGCTCCCCTGCCAAGCTTTGCAAGGTAAGGACCCCCCTCCCTGTTCTTCCCTTCATCTCACTCCCCCTCCTCCGTGCTGTGCGTCACGGCGTTTACAGGAACTTCCTTTAACTGCAGAGAGTGGTCAAGCAGCACACATTTCTTTCTTGGCCGTCCTTCATGCTGTGCAGCCACACCTGTTGTATTTTCTATCACATTCCCTTTTTCAAAAAACTGCGATGTAAGTAGCAGAACATACTGCAGATACCCCTCTGGAGCCATGACATCCACGGGGACTCCTCATTGCCCCCATACTCTCCAACCAGCTGCAAAGACCTCCCTTCCCACCTCTTACTCACATTCACAGTCACCTAGGCAGTGCCAGACCCAGGCCCGGAGCTGGGGACCCAGATGAATCTGTGATGTCAGGGCCTGAGCTCCACAGTAGCCAGAGCTTCAGGGGGGTGCACGGGTGCTCCAGCCCCATCTCCACTCCCATTTCCAGTGCTGCTGCTCCTGTGGGGGAGGTGGGTGGGGACTGGGGTCGGTGGGCCGAGGGCAGGCA